CACTAAATGTATTAAATAGTAAAATATTTGGCTGAAAGATAGTCTAGTATGATGCTATTAAAAATTACAAACTTGATTTTGAAAATGCATCAAGATTCAAATGGGAAGAAAAGTAGAATTACAGCCTTCAGAATATTTTCTCCTGAAGGTTTTCTCAGAAAGACTCGTGAAAAATTCACTAAGTGCCTTATCAGGCATCTGCCAATATCTGAGCGCAGGCCAATAATTATCTGGTAGTTACTAATGAGGTACTAATTGGAGCCAGCGTGAATTATGCCAACTCTACCATCAACGAAAGAAAGAGCCATGAATTTACCACATTTGTAAAGAGGTATTGGATTATTCTACTTGCATTTGCCACATAAAGACAAAGAACGCTATGGTTTCCTAGCTGTTTATTTGCAGGTGGAAAATGAGACATTCGTATCAATAACTTTTGTGTTACTTCATCACTAGCCACATTGTTTTAAACCAAACCAATGTTATTTTTCTCATTTATTGTATTTCTTAAAACTGAAATCTGAGCTAACCAGAGCGATGAGACAAGCCAGTCATGATAAAGTAATTTGAGAATATAAAAAATATATGAGACTTTTTAGAACAACAGCCCTTTTTCATAAGCCAAATTTTAGAAGAGTCACCCCTTGGACTTTATGGTTTAAAAAGTTGGGCATTTTTCCCCCAAAGGTATTCCAGTTTACACCACAGAGTAGTTTTATAAATGAAGCATTGTTTTATTATTATTTGTCTAGTTCAAGAATATCTGAGGTTTCTAAAAATTCTGTGACTTAAAACAAAGGTTCAGATTATCTCCAAGGTACATGTGCCTTACAATTTGTTTGAGAGCTTCCATTCCTCTTTCTTTGCTCCCTGATACACCCTAATTCACCCTCCTACCAAATCTACACACCACATTGAAAACCTGAACAAAAAATTCCAAAATATATCAGTCAATTTACTAGCTTAGGAAAATTTAGATGCAATCTTAGTCACATGAACCTCTCCCTAATCTTTATCTCTCTGTATCACTCTACTGTTATTCATTATAGTAACATATGATATAATATTAATAATATAGTGATACAGTAAAAGACATGCTACTGAATAAATCAGTGTATTTTAATTTATATCGTCATTAATTTCTTTTATTAATTGCTCTGATTTCTTCTTTTTAACTATGACCATCATTCATTCATTCATTCATTAGATATTTACTGACCTGTCTTTCTGTGCTGTGCACTATGCTAGGCCCCTGGTGTTGCAAAGATGAATAAGTCTCTACCTTCAGATAATAATTCAATCGACAAAACCAATATGCAGGAAAAGACATAAATTAGATTGGGGGTAAGATGTATGTGCAAAATATTCCAAAAATGCAGGCAGGAGTAGTGAAGACTGCTAAAGTGGGAAGATCTTTGAGCAGTTTGAGAGATTTAGCCAAAGCTCCCTGTAGAGGGAAAATGTAAGAAGGATTCTTCACACAGAGGGAACAGCATGCGCAAAGATGTGATAGAGTCTTGAAATAGCATGGGGTTTACTCAATTTGGCTATGACTGGAAGTCATATAAGAATGAGATTATGACACTAGATGAACAAGGGCAAATTGGGGCCAGATTGTCACAAGCCTTGTATGCTAAGTAATTTGGAATTTATCCTTAGGTCACAGGGAGCTATTGATGGTGTTTAGTTGATGGAGTGCTGTTATTAGATTTGACAACAGCATGTGAAATGAAAGACCCTGGAAGGGCAACCAATTTAGAGACTGTTAAAATATTTTAGGAGAAAATATTTGAAGTGATTATAGCTGTGGGAATGGAGATACAGTGTTAGAGTCAATAGTTATGTAGTAGACCAAATTGGAGATATATGTAAGCTTAGAAATACTGGTAGTGGCATTATAAAAATTAAATAAATGATTTATATTATTACTGAATTAGCTAGGGGAAAAGAATTCCAATATTTGATGACTTATTAGTTTTGTATGTATTTGTACATTTTTTAAAAGAATTAATAATGCCAGCCTAATTTAGATATTCAGAATCTCTATGTTACGATGCTCTACTTTGGTGGGAGATGCGTTAATTTTAACAGCAAAAGTGCTATTCTAAAGATGTATTAAACATTTTATATTATGTCCTTCCCTAAAAGGCATTTCAGAAAACCTGATAATTTAACTAAAGTTCACAAATAAGTGACACTCTTTCTGCCTACTCTCTCTTGAGATGTGGAATAGGTCGAGTGAGAAACTTGGCAATTTGAGGATGTTTTCCAGGTGGAAATATTCGGTTTTTAAATACATTGTTACACAAAAGCACACTGATCCTAATATATGAATAAAAATAGTATTCTTGTAGGTCCATATATATGTGACTGATTCCTTACAACTCCCCAACTGAAACCCTCCTAGGAGAATTTTAGGCTTTGATTTTAGATAAGAAGTAATATGCCTTTGCTGGAGTACTGATCTTTAAGCGAAAGATCTCCTCAAACTGGAGAAATAAAACCTTTAAGATCTTAAAAGAAGTCTGGGAACCTCAAGGAGCTGGGGGTCAGGTTGGGATGGGATCTACTGCTAACTAGCTTATTCACCCTGAACAGTGTAGTTAAATTCCTTGGGCCTCAGTTGCCTCATTTGTAGAAATAAGGGTGTTGAAAAATATTACATGAAAGGAAAGTCCAGAACTAAAATTTTAAGCCTCCAGTTACATGGATCAATCAACACTTTCAGCATCTTTGCTAAATCTCCACTTTTGAATCTCAAATGAGTCTCCCTTAATTTAAACCTAAGAGAGGGAGGTTGGAAATCTGTAATAATTAAATGCTTTCTCATTCAACCTTGATGAAAATATCAAACTACCAAAACAATCCCCTGTCCTGAGTGTTATCATAAAGGTTATTAACATATTTTAAAGTTGAACACTTGTAAACTAATCAAAGTAATGATGAGGGAGAAAACCTATACTCTTGAGTGTTACTTTGTACTGTATGTTTTACACATACTATTTAGTTTGTCTTTCAACAGACATTTTCTTAGCCTGCTAATGGGATTCCAAGAACAGGGGTCATCCTCTTATGAACCAGTTATTTTATTAGAAGCCTACTGATTTCAAGGGACTGTGCTTGATGCAATATGTGCTCTTGTAATTATTCTACCAATCTATATATGTAATAAGTGCTATTAAAGCCATTTGCCAGCAAGGAAATATGTTCAAAGAGATTAAGTAACCTGTCCAAAGTCATAGCGCTAGTAATCAGGAGAATCAAAATTTGAACTGAGATCTACCTAATTCCAGGGCCTGATATCTTTCCAGTTCTCACACAGCACCCTTGTTTTTGAACAGACAATTGAAGATTGAAACCTGCTTGTTAAAGCCTCTAATATTAATAGTTATAGCATAAGTGTACACTTACACAAATAAAGTTGTATCCACACCTGAAATCTTTCGGATTGATTTAAATATTGGACAGGTAAATTGCATAATATATGAGGAAAAAACACACAAAAACAAAGCCACTAGAATATAATTACTATAAAATGAAGCATGTATCTCGGTAAATCCAAACATTTTTTGTGTCTTTTTCAAAATGAAAAGAGCAATGATGTTGCTTTAAAATGTTTATACTGTGTCTTAGTCTTTCTGGGATGCTTTAACAGAATACTATTGGATGGATAATTTATTGCTTACATTTCTGTAATCCATGATCAATCAAGGTGCCAGTAGAATCAGTGTCTAGTAAAGAGCTCACTGTCTGTTTCATAGATGGTGCCTTGTTGCTGTGTCCTCTCACGGTAG